AGTGGTGGTAGAGGTAATAATGGTAGTGGTGGTAGTGGTGGTAGTGGTGGTAGAGGTAATGGTAGTGGTGGTAGAGGTAGTAGTAGTGATAGTGGTGGTATAGGTAGTAGAGGTAGAGGTGGTAGTGGTGGTGGTAGAGGTAGTAGTGGTGGTAGTGGTGGTGGTATAGGTAGTAGAGGTAGAGGTGGTAGTGGTGGTGGTAGAGGTAGTAGTGGTGGTAGTGGTGGTGTTTCTTCTTCCTTGTCGTTAGTTGTAGAGTTGGGGCTTTGATGTGTGGTCGTTGTTGCAGCGTGATTTTTGTGGTTGGTTTATGTGGTCGTCGCTGCAGTGCGGTCGTTGTGGTTGATGTATAGGTCGTCGTTGCGTATTTGGTGTAGTTATTATAGCCCTTTTCGCAGTAGAGTTTTCATGTATTTGTGGTTGTTGACATTGTGTCGTGTTGTGAGCTGCCCCGTTCTTGTAACTACGCCCTTGTCGTTGCTGTGTCGTTCTTGGACGTGTATAGCTACAGATACACGGCATAAGTTGTCGTTCACACATAGTTCCCACCTAGTGTTTGTATTGCCGATATTACCTTCACTGTAACCAATGATGATGTGTGTGTGTGTGTGTGTGTGTGTGTGTGTGTGCAGTACATAATAAAAACACAATAAACTCTAATTATACAGACTTAGAAGCCATACAGTACTAATACAGACAGTATAATATACATATGTATACTCTGAAGCACCTACAGGGTTCAGCAGCAGTATACATTTACACTGAATAATACACATCATGATTACAGCGTTGAAGGTTTGCTCTAGACATATTTACGTAAATCTTACATTCTTCACCATTCACAGGATTTCTTATATATTTATCCTTATGAGACGTGATATATATCGTTAAGGTTGGCTCAGATAGGCCCCAAAAAATCCCACGTTTTCTGACTTAACTGATGGATGTTTATATTCGTAATGTGAGTCGCATTTTTTGTTTTTGTTTTTCAAGTGCGATTTGTTACTCTAAGTGACTGTTTTTTATCACCTTTATTTACCTTTAATTATTATATATTTATTATTGTTTATTTTAAGTTAATATAATAATTATCTTGTTTAAATTTTTCACTGAACGTGTCCAATTCTATAGTGGTGTAAATATATTGTATAACCTCAGAATCTTGACCCTATTGTATTGTATTGTATTGTATTGTATTATTACATTCCATATAATTTTTTCGTCACTATATTTGAGATTTTTAAGGATGAAAATTAATTCTATGGACATCTTGTTGATGCCTTAAGGAGAGAAGAGGAAGGAAGGAGGATGGATGTAGATAGAGATGGATGAATAGAGAGAACAGAGAGAGGGAGGCAATAGAGAAGAGAAGGAGATAGAGCAGAGAGGGATATAAAGAAAAAATAAAGAGATACAGTAGAAGAGAGAGAGAGAGAGAGAGAGAGAGAGAGAGAGAGAGTAAATTCCTCCTGTGAGTGAAATACATTTATTACTATTCACAACAAACATTTCACAGTTTATTTCGGTGAATTATTTAAACAAATTTACTAAGTTTACTGCTTTATATTCTAAATCATTCCCAGGCAGTGTGTAGCACATTCTACCGTCAGCAACAACAACAATAAAAATCACCTCGACAAGCGCGCCACACCATTCTTACCACACCCTGTTTGTGAATGTTTCTTATCCATCTATCCATCCATCTATTCATCCATCTATCCATCCATCTATCCATCCATCTATCCATCCATCTATCCATCCATCCATCTATCCATCCATCTATCCATCCATCTATCCATCCATCTATCCATCCATTCATCCATCCATCCATCTATCCATCCATCTATCCATCCATTCATCCATCCATCTATCTAGAAAAAGGAAATAATAGGAAAAATTAAGAAAGATAAGGATAGAGATAAAAAAGTATATAAACAATATATTCTTTGTGTATTATTTTATGTGTATATTTTATTTCTTTACCTGTGTGGATCCAAAGTCTTTTTTTTTTATAGTCCAAGGTAGAATTTGGTGTTGGTGAATGATGTATGTGATCCTGGATGGCCAACAAACAGGTGATGTGTTATTCATTTGGGATGTGTGACATTTATACAGGCCTCAGCACACACACACACACACACACACACGCAGACACACACACACACACACACACACACACACACACACACACACACACACACACACACACACACACACACCACCACCTGAGATCCCCTGTCCGAGAATTGCTGTTCGACACCACAACCGCATCCAGCCCAGACGTGCACGAACTGATCGCTATAAGAACAGCCCAGTCCCAACCATTGTAAAAATTATCAATAACATGTAATAAATCAGTGTATTCACTCCCAGTAAACACTGCTCCCTACACTGTCACTATGTTGAAATGAACTGTAGTTTGAGCTGATCCCCATCTAAGTTATTATATGTCTTATTTGTGTCACTTGTATATTATTTGTAATTCGTAACCCATTCCCCAAATATGTAACTGTATATTTTCAGCCTTCTGGCTGCCAAGCTCTTTCAATAAACCGTTAATTATTATTATTATTATTATTATTTTTTACACACAAGGCGTCGTGCGAATATCATCACTTTTATTACTGCTACCACCACTACCACCACCACCACTAGTACCACCACCATCATCCTATCACCACCATCATCCTATCACCACCACCACCACCACCACCACCACCACCACCACTACTACTACCACCACTACCACCACCACCACCACTACTACTACCACCACTACCACCAATTACCAATTAATTAGTACCAATACCACCACCACCACCACCACCACCACTCACTACCACCTCAATTCCACTAATCAATTAATTAGTACCAATTTCACCATCATCCTATCACCACTAGTACCACCACCACTACTACCACTACCACCACAATCATCACCACCACCACCACCACCTACCATCCCCGGAAGCCACTGGTGTTGAATAAACCCTGGAAAAGTTTTCTCTCCAGAACGAGTACTCATTACTTATTGAAAACCTGAATTCAAGTAGAGTTTACTATTAAGAGTAAATCGTGTAATTCTGGTTTGTTGTTGGTTGTATTAGGTTAGGTTAGGTTAAGTGAGATGACGTGTGTAATAATAATAATATTTATTTTGATATTAATACTAATAATACTAATACTACTACTAATAATAATTAATAATACATATATAAATAATAATAGTAAGTAATAATAAAAATTATAATAATAGTAAATAATAATAAAAATAGTAAGTAAGTAGTAATAATAATAATAATAATAATAATAATAATAATAATAATAATAAAAAAGTATTGAACACGCTATGATACAACCCGGGTTTAATGATTCCCCGTTATATAAGTCTATATAAACAATGGCTAATACTACCACTGGTATAAATTGATACAAAACCAATACTAGTAAATTATATAACATCAAATTATATAACAATAAACTACACAATAAACCAAGGTATTAAGAACGGGCGTGTTCAATTATCGAAATTGACTTTTTTGTGTATGTGTGTGCGTGTATGTAGCTGTGTTCTGTGTGTATGTATGTGCGTGTGTGTGTGGGTATGCTTGTATATCCGTCTGTCAGTCCGTTTAGAGTACAAATCAGCTGTTGATTACAATTGAAAGTCTACAGTATTGTTCCTATCTTTACCCAACGTTAATAACAATGATGTTTTATAAATAGTGACATTATGCCAATATTATTATGGTGTAATTTGAGAGTTTGAAGGATTATGATGTATGTCTGAAGGTTTTAGAGTATAATAAGAGACTGGAGTGTGTTTTATAAGCCTCGCTCTTTCTACCTGGGTACACTGTCATTATCTGTGATTTCTATAATGCTATTGTACAAAAGGAGATCTGTTCCTCGCTTATAGTACGTTCACCTGCTGTTGATAATTACGATTATTACTTTTATATATTTCTTCAATGCTTACAGCTATTAATATTACTACTACTATTATTATTACTACTATTACTAATATTATTACTACTATTATTGCTACACTTACTATTACTACTACTGCTACTATTACTACTTCGGAACTAGCTACTATTACTATTACTACCACTGCTATTACTACCACCACTACTACTACTACTACTACTACTACTACTACTACTACTGCTTCTACTACGACCACTTTTTAGGCTATAATGTTGGATTACTATAGCTGTGTTAGGTTTTATTATGGGTTATGTTAGCTTATTATTTTAAAGTATTGTGCAGCTATATTCAGCTATACTAATATCTTAACGTGTAATGCTGTAACTGTACGTCATAGCTTTCAGTCATGACTTTCTCCCTTTGTCTGTCTCTCTTTGTCTATCACTGTTTTTTCTTTTTTCTTTTCCATCCATCCATCTACCATTTACCTATTTATATAATCTCTCTCTCTCTCTCCGTTTCTCGGCCTATCTTTTTTTTTTTTTTATTTGTTTCACTTTACATCTCTTTCTTCTCCTTGGGGTTTTCTTTTCTTTTCTTTCTTTTCTTTCTTTCTTTCTTTATATTCACCATTTCTCACTTATTCTCCCTCCGCTTATGTGCTTCTGCTTATAATGCGTCATAATCACAATCCCTGCCTAATGCTCGTCTCTACTCGGCCATTGATTAAAACAAGCTACGTTAATGAGGTTCAGTGATTGATGATTGACCTAATCACTACCAATCACTCCTACTTAAGTAAAGGTTGTGATTTAGTGGAGCCATTATCCAGGGTTTTAATTACGGTAAAGGGATAAAAAAAAGAGAGAGAGAGAGAGAGAGAGAGAGAGAGAGAGAGAGAGGATCAATAGAAGACGACTTAAGTATATGTATGTGGTGTATGAGTTCCTTCCACCTTGTGTATGATTCCCTCACGTATGTATGTATGTATGTATGTATGTATGTCTCTCTCTCTCTCTCTCTGGAGGTCACACATCGTCTAACTCTACCGATGTTTCTTCCCCTGACAGACAAGCATGAACTGGACGGCGTACGGGTTAATGGTAAAGGCAAGAAGATGAGAAAACCAAGAACAATCTATTCCTCCTTGCAGCTTCAACACCTCAACAAGATATTCCAGAGGACACAGTATCTCTCCTTGCCTGAGCGCGCTGAACTTGCTGCATCTCTTGGTCTTACACAAACACAGGTGAGTTCTTGATTTGTCTTGTGTGTGTGTGTGTGTGTCTCCATAGCATTATAAGTAAGACATATGATTAATTTACGTGTTTAATGTAATTTGAATCACTTCACATCTAGCATGATACAGTGAAACCACCTTTTAACAACCAAGAAAATAACGCAATTATCTCTATGTAATTAGGTCGAGTCATTAAGAACGGCAAATGTAGTCGTAACCCTCATTCATAACGCTCTTAAAGTCATCTAAAGTAATTAATGCGTTATTGCGTGTTTCTTTGTCATTTATATAAAACTTTTTCTTCCTGGCCGAACAAGTGTTGAATCCCTAAGACTTATCATTCAGTAATTATTCCACTCTAAGGGATGTTTCTCTATTATTATTATTATTATTATTATTATTATTATTATTATTATTATTATTATTATTATTATTATTTTTATTATTATTATTATTATTATTATTATTATTATTATTATTATTATTATTATTATTATTATTAAAGTACAACTAAAACTAATAATAAGAGTAAAATTAATAATGGTAGTAGTAGTAACAATAATAATGATGATAATGATAATAATATGAGTAATAATGAAGAAAATAAAGACAAACGATCTAGTGATAATAACAGAAAGTAGTGAGGCAGGACAGTAGTGACAGGAAGTAGGAAAGTAGCAATAGGGATAGTGGCGAGTTAGGGAAGTAGCTAGATGAGTAATGACGAGGTAGGGAAGTGGCAATAGGGGGTAGGGGCGAGGTAGGGAAGTAGCAATTGGGGTAAAGGCAAGATAGGGAAGTACCAATATGGGTAGGGGCTAGGTAGGGAAGTAGCAATAAGGGGCAGTGACGAGCTAGGGAAGTAGCAATAGACGAGGTAGAAAAAAAGGAGGGCAGGGGAAGCAGTAGGGGGTCGGGGGGGGTAGGAAAGTAGCAATAGGGGTAGTGGCGAGAAGGGGAGCAATAATAGGGGTCGGGGCGGGAGGGAAATAATAGCATAGGAAGAAGGAAGGAGAGGGGAAAGTAAAAGGGGGAGTGGGGGGCAGGAAAGTAGAAATAAATAGGTAGTGGCGAGATAAAGGGGTAGTGGCGAGGAAGGGAAGTAACAATAGGGAGTAGTGGCGAGATAGGGAAGTAGCAATAGGGGTAATGGCGAGGTAGGGAAGTGGTAAAAGATGGTAGTGACGTGGTAGGAAAGTAGCAATAGGGGTAGTGACGAGGTAGGAAAGTAGCAATAGGGGTAGTGGCGAGGTAAGGAAGTAGTAATAGGGGTTGTGGCGAAATAAGGGGGTAGTGGCGAGGTAGGGAAGTAGCAATAGGGGTAGTGGCGAGATAGGAAAGTAGTAATAGGGAGTAGTGGCGAGGTAGGGAAGTAGCAATAGGGGTAGTGGCGAGGTAAAGCCAATAGGTAAGGGTTAGCCGTGTTCCCTAGCTATTGACTTTTTAATAACTTGGCGGTGAGGTGAGTGGTCGGGGTGGTGGTGGCCGCTGGCTGGTTACCCTCCCTCACTCCCTCCTTGATACCTTCCCTCACTCCCTCCTTGCTTCCCTCACTCCCTCCTGCAACCTTATCTCTCCCTCCTTGCTTCCTTCCTCCCTCCTTGCTTCCTCTCCCTCCCTGAACCCCTCACTCTCCTTGCTTCCTCACTCCCTCCCCGATAAGCTTCCCTCACTCCTCCTTGCTTCCTTCACTCGCCTTGCTTCCCTCAATCCCTCCTTCCCTCACTCCCTCCCCGATACCTTCCCTCAACCCCTCCTTGCTTCCTTCACTCCCGCCTTGCTTCCCTCACTTCCTCCTTGCTTCCATCACTCTCTCTCTGCAACCTTCCCCCACTAGTTCATTGCTTCCCTTACTACCTCCCTGCTTTCCTCACTCTCTCCTTGCTTCCTTCACTCCTTCCTTGCGTTCGTCTCTCTCCTTTCCTACTTCCCTCACTCCCTCCCTGCTTCCTCACTCCCTCCCTGCTTCTCTAACTTCTTCCTTTCTTTCCTCTCTCTCTCTCCCTCTTTGCTTCCTTCCCTCCCTCTCTCCCTCCCTCCCTGTTCCTACACCTCTGGCACTCCTTCACTGTGTTGCTGGCATAATCCCTGAGGCAGTGTTCCTTATAGCAAATTTGTTCCTTGTGATACTGACCCTTGTGGCACTAATCCTCGTGGCACTTATCCTTGTGACACTATTTCTCTAGGCACTTATCCAGGTGGCACTGTTCATCGTGACACTGACTTCCCCCAACACTCGTTCTTAGACACCATAAACGTTTGTCAGTAGTATAAATAGGATACCTTCACGGATTCTCCCTCTTCCCATCTTCATCACCTTGTTTATCTCTCTCCCTCTATTACCCCATCTCTTCATCTTCATCAACATGTCTTTATATCCTCTCCTTCCACAGTCTCAATAATAAATAATATTTGTTTGTTCGTTGTGATATTCAGTTTCAAATGTCAATGGTACTTCAAGGTGATATATTAGGAAGGTCTTTAAGTCAATGACACACTCACATGCCAGTCAATAACACACTCACATGCTAGTAAATGACGCACTCACACATGCCAGTCAATAGCACACTCACATGCTAGTCAATGACACTCACAAGCCAGTTAATGACACACTCACATGCAAGTTAATAACACACTCACAAACCAGTCAATAATACACTCAACTATAAACAAAAGTACATCATTATCTTTAAACTGTATTCATTAACATCGTATATAAATAAATCTAACTTCAAGTGTCGAAATCAGTCAGCGTTAAAAAAAGAAATACAATTGAATTTAAATGAATAATATAACAAGCAATGATTAAACTCCCTAATGAAATTACTATCGATATAAGTAACAAAATTGACACTAAAATCAAGACAGATGGAATTATAATACATTAATAAAGTATCTAGAATTATTATACAACTACCAGAATTATATATAACAAACTGAAGAAAAAATACTTATTGATATAAAGGAGAAATCAAAATAAATGAGCCTTTAAAAATAACTAACTAAAATTTCTCTTCTTTTATCACCTCTTTCAAATAACATCGAGTCAAATAATATTGGTCTGATCTCAAAATTGTGTAATATCAATAACCACAATCTATTACAATATTCCGAAGGTCTTGTGATTTATGAATACATTGTGTGATTGACTCAAAAAAATGGAAGAGTGAAGATTTGGTGGAATAATCCATCAATTGTCAATACAGCGAGAGTAAATATGAGTTATCTGATGTATTAGGGGTCAATAGTGTGTTATATATATATATTTAAGGTCATCTAAGGTTACTGGTAGTTAGGTTTTCTTATATCTCTCTGTGTGTCTGTATCTATCTCTACTGTCTTTCTTTCTTTCTGTCTCTATGATATGGCGGGGTAGTGAAGGATTGACGGGGCAAAAAGGAATTTACGGGGATATATGTTACGGCGGAGTAAGGGGGGATTGGCGGGGCGGGGGAGGAATTGACGGGGTTAGGGAAGAACTGAAGCTTTACGTTAAGGCGGGGCAGGGTAGGATTGACGGGGCAGGGAGGAATTTACGGAACAAGGGAAATATTGACGGGGCAGGGAGGAATTTACGGGGCAGGGAACGATTGACGGCATTAAGAAAAACAAATTGATTATTCTTTAACAGGTGGTGAACTGCCATTCTCAGCGGGTATATGAAATGGCACTCATGATAAGCGTGTAAGGCAAGATAAACACTGCTGAATACTGTATGAACTGCTGTCAGTGTGGGGGTCAGAGAGGTCTACGTGACTTGTGTGTATATGTTAATTTTTGTGGAAATTTTTTGGAAAACACACACACACACACACACACACATATATCCTTGTGCGTTTGTGTTGCGGGCGTTTTTACATCCGTGAGTTAGTATATATGTGTGTGTGTGTGTGTGTGTGTATATGTGTGTGTGTGTGTATATGTGTGTGTGTGTGTGTATATGTGTGTGCGTGTGTACGTGTGTAGATACATGTGGGTACATACTTCACGTGTACACCCTGTAACTACTCACACAAAAAGGATGGTTGGTCGATACAGTACACATCAAAGGCAAAAATTGCAGTAATTTTAACTCTTAAAATGTGTTGGTCGTTCCAACTGAATAAAAATTCAACAGAAAAAGGAATAGAAAAAAATCATTATAATTTGTAGCTGTAGTTAAAGACAAGTAAATGTAGAGCTGTTATTTACTACTGATACTCGGTGATTTATGACACTATTTGTCTCACAACTTTTACACCAATTTGTTGACATCGAGTATTTCGTAGTTATTGGAGGGAGTGAATTAAGAGGCCAAGTGTCGTGCTATTATGGCCAAGTTCCATAATGATGGTGTTCCTATTGTTATTATTATTATTATAAGTTATTGCTGTTATTATTATTATTATAAGTTATTGTTGTTATTATTATTATTATAAGTTATTGTTGTTATTATTATTATTATTATTATTATTATTATTATTATTATTATTATTATTATTATTATTATTATTATTATACCAAGAAAGAATTTTGGGTAAATGATGGAGTAAGAAAATGTGAAGGAAGAGGAGGCAGGAGAAAGAGAGAAGGAACGAGTTTGGAAAGGATTAAGATAAGATATATGTACAGTGGGAAGGAAGGGTGTCTGAGAGGAGAGGAAGAGAAGGAGGGATAGTAAAATGGAATGGGAGGGAAGGCTACGAACAAGTGAAATAAAAGAAAAGAGAATAAATAAGACAAAAATAAGAAAACAATTAAAACTAAGCGAAAATCAAAATAAACAAATAATTAAATTACGAGAAGGAATAAAATGCCCAACGAAATAAATTTATGAATGAAGGAAGAACAAGGCAAAGGGGAAAGAGAAAATGTAGGTTAGTAAAATAAAAAATATATATCTTGAACTAATTTAATATGTTTGAAAGTAAAATACCTTAATTATCTCGCAGGTGAGTCAAAACTTACTGTTGGTAAATTTTTAATGTTTGGAATAGGATTTTATTATGTATAATCATTATTAAAAAAAA